AAAAATGTGAATTACTCAAATATTATATTTGAATTAAAAATAGCGAAGTCGTGCAGGCTGTAGTTGATCCTCTCAATGAGCAACCAATTTATATTAGAAGCAGGGTATTAAAGCTAGGAGGAGGCTGCAGAGCCATGGATAAGTCTTGCGTACATTCCATATTAGAAAATATGGTGCATGATCATGGGCCGCAGTGCCATGAGATGGATAAAATCAGTGGCCTGAGCGACACGCCGAAGATCTAATAGCCTTGCCGACCTAACCTTGTAATAATGCCTATAGTGCTTTGCCCGTATCTTAGAAGCAGAGGGAAAATAGTTAATGCCGAGTTTGGTCAAGATATCTTGATAAACAAAAAAGGTTTTTAATCAAAAAACTTGTTTTCAACCCATCGTTCCTATGCCAGATATATGATATAGTAGTCCGATCTAAATCGGATTTTGCATTTATATGAGGAGTACTATAAGACTTATAAATGTCTTAATATGATTTTGCCTACAATTAATGCCGAGTTTGAACAAGATATCTTAAAAAACAAAATGTTTTTTCATACAACAATTTATTTTATATATAGTGGCGGGATATAGTGGTCCGATCTAGCTGGTTTTGACATATGTTCTGCGTGCAACAGAGAGAGGGACTTCTGCAAAGTTTCATTAAGATAGCTATAAAATTGAGAGACAGATGGACAGACGGACATGGCTATATCGACTCGGCTGTTGATGCTGATCAAGAATATGTATGCTTTATGGGGTCGGAGATGTCTCATTCTATGCGTTACACATTTCACGACAAAATTATAATACCCTCTACAAGGGTATAAAAAAGATGTGCCAAATTCATTAAAATAAGGACACCAAAAAAATATTTCCTGATGTGCTCCCTGAGTAATGGGTTCAGGGTATAAAAAAGGGAATTAATAACAACAACAATAATAATAATCAAAGAAGCCAACGACCAAAGTGAAGGATAGTCAAAGTTTGACATTATTAAGTGTTTTTCTTGGTTGTTAGCTCTGTGAAATCGACGAGGAGCAATAAAGACGATTAAACCTACGGGACGGGTTTTGAGACCACCGATCCTAAGTTACAAAAAAGATCTGAGTGAGTGGAAAGCTCAAAATTGGAATCAGGTGAGTGCCAAATCCGGGGGTAGGCGTGCGTTGGATCTATCAGCGGCGCAAGGAGGAGCTGGTGGCCATCGCCCAGGAGTTCGGGCGTCTATCCAGCTGTGGGCATGATGGCAGCCATTCGTCTGAGATCTGGGCTCGGCTCGCCGAGCTGAAGTCTAAATTCGCGAAAACGTTAGAGGTGCTATCCTGGGGCGTCCCATCTGACGTGGCTAAACGACCGTGCCAAAAGTCAGAGCCTGATCATAGGAGCTCACAATTTTATGGGCGTCCGCGGCCGCCTATCCCTGGTGTGGCCATCACGGGGGTGGAACAGGCTTCCGATCGCGGGGAAAATGGAGATCGCCGAGTAACCACGACCAACGTAGGCGTGGGGCGGAGGCCGATCGAGTCTATCAACGTCCCATACGCTCCCCAACCATATTCTCGGTCGGAGGTTAGGCCTTTCACAAACGTTCCGGAACAAGTTCGGAAGTGGGGCCTGAAATACGATGATCGCTCCGACCCCCTCGAGTTCTTGGAGACCTAGAGGAACGCGCCATCGCCCTCGATAGATTGCCCCGGCCGATGAGTGAGGTGTTCTGCGACAGGGCCGGTCGGTGGGCTTAGAGATGTGCTATGGCCGGTGTTCAGGAGGGGTTTTTGCTTCTTCCTGTTCTTCCTGCTCCACGCTACTTCGAAGGGCTTGAGGACGAAATCCGGTCCCGCAGGCAACGCGAGGGGGAGGAATTCAAGGAGTTCCTGATAGAGCTGAGAGCTCTGATGCATCACGAACCGGCACAGGAGTTGCACCGGATCTACGAAAACGCCGCTCCCGAATACAAACTCTACGTGCGTCGGCAAGATTTCTGCACCCTGTCACAGCTGCCCCAGGCGGAGGTGTAGTACGAGACGGTGACGAGACAGAGAGCGCAATACTCGGAAAGCAGGTGGGGGAGTCAGGTGATCACTAGTGCGGAGTAGTCATGGGAGGTACAGCCTCCGGGGGAACAGCCCAACCCAGTCCGGTCTACTCCCATCGGATTCGGACCGTTGTGGACAGGAGGGTCTCCACCCCGCCGGCAACGGCCCCTGCGGAAGTGGCCCACCGATTGATAAGCCAAGAGGCCGGAACCGGGTATGATCCAAGACGAGCGTGCCGTAGGTGCGCACAGGGAATGTCCCGACGCACCTGTCGTATTCTGCTGGGTGTGTGGGAGCCAAGGCAGGAGCTAGGATTGTTATTACCGCACGGAGGCGGGTAACGGGCAACGGCGTCGCCCAGGCCAGGATCGGGTCGGCGCCGAAACACACGGGACTTGGACGGTGGTCGGATCGTCACTGCGGGGCCACTCGCAGCTTCATGAGTGAAGATTCCGTACGCAGGTGGGCGATTTGGGGAAGAGCGGAGGACGTAGAGGCGAGCATTAGACTGGAAGCTGGGTCCACCCTCGAAGTAGGGAATGCCTTGAGGTTAGACGTTGGCCTAGTGGGGGGAACCATCAGCATGTTGATGCTTATGATACCCTCGATGCTAGACCACGTCATCCTGGGGATGGATTTCTTGGGTGCGATGGGCACTACAATCCACTGTGGCATAGCGATGTTGAACTTAGAGACGGTGACGGACCATTCCAAGAGGAAACCGGAGGAAGGCCTCCCAGGTCAGGAAGAGGGAGCATCTGTCCGGCAACAGATGGAAAGAGGAACGAAGAAGGGAACGTCGTAGTGGTCTCACGCAGGATTGGACCAAGCGCCTAAGGAGTCTTATAGGCGGCGGGTAGAGTTGTAGCGACAGGTCTGTGGTGGTCATAGAGTCGCCACAGCGGGAACGTGCCAGAGAGCAGAAGAATCAGAAGTAACGGTCAGAATCCACGCGGACACAGGGGATCTGGAGTCGAAGTAGTGCACGGAAGGGACGACACAAAGCGCGAGCATAACATCGGAGAGGCAGAGTGGTCAGCGGATCCGGATATGGAGCTTAGGGAGTTCCTGGAGTCGGAACTGCCACTATTTGCGGGGGCGCAGGGAGTCTCGCATATCGCGGAGCACAGGATCCGGCTAAAGGACGACAAGTCATTAAACCAGCGATATTATCCGAAAAATCCGGCCATGCAGAGGGTGATTGACGAACAGGTAGATGAGCTGATCCGGACCAGTGCCATCGAGCCATCGCGTAGTCCGTACAACGCCCCAGTCGTCTTAGTCAAAAAGAAGACTGGCGAATGGCGCGTGTGCCTCAACTACCGGCAACGCGTATTCCATCCCAGACGCTTATCATGTTCCCAGGATTAAACACATCCTTGAGCGGTTGAGTCACGCCCGGTTCATTTCTCCTCTGGATTTGAAGCACGGGTACTGGCAGATACCGATGGCAGCCGATAGTCGGGAACGTACGGCGTTCACGGTCCCCGGAAGAGGTCTTTTCCAATGGCAGTTGATACCATTCGGCTTACTCTCGGCATGTGCGACCTTCCAGCGAGCCTTAGACACGCTCATGGGGCCGGAAATGGAGCCTCAAACGTTCGCCTACATAGACTACAACGTGGTAATAGGGGCAACGAAAGAGCAACATGTAGAGAACTTGAGGGAGGTGTTACGTATGTACAGCGTACGCGAGTAGAAAGTTGCTTAAGGCCGAAGCGAACTATTCCGCCACCGCGAAAGAGTGCCTGCCAATCCTTTGGTCGATACGGAAGCTGCGTTGCTACTAAGAAGGGTACCGTTTCGACGTGATAGCGGCACTTAAGTGGTTCAACTCGATCGAGAGCCCTTCAGGCAGGATCGCGCGATGGGCACTGGAGCTACAACAGTTCCAATTCGACGTCCACTACCGTCGATGAAAGCTCAACGTCGTGGCCGACGCACTTTCAAAACATCATCTAGAGACCTGCCAACAAGCTGTGGTAGCCGAGTCACCCAGCAGGTGGGTCGCGAGTATGAGTGCTAGAATCGAAGAGGAGTCGGCCAAGTTCTCGGACTACATAGATGAGAATGGGCAACTGATGGCGATTAAATTCCATGTAAGCTATGCGTGTCTAGTGATCAGCGACAGAGGGTATTGCAGGAATGCCACAACGCTCCCACGGCCGGACATCAAGGCGTGAGGAAAACCGTGTCGAGATTGGCACAAAGATACTACTGGCCAGGTATGTTCCCCAAAACCGCCAAGTACGTAAAGTGCTGCGAAATCTGTCAAAAATTTAAGAGTGAGCAACTCAAGCCGGCTGGACATATGCTGACGCGGCAGGTAGCAGAGCCAATGGCAGTACTCTGCGCCAACTTCGTCGTGGCCCTTTCACGCTCGAAACATGGCAACACAATGGTATTGATGTTCCATGATGCCTTTTCAAAGTGGGTGAAATGGGTCCCTCTCAGGAGGGTCACGGCGGCACACCTGCAGACCGCATTCCGAGCGCAATTCATCGAGAGCCATCAGAGTTCGTGGAAGGAGCTTTTGCCTGAGATATTGCTGGCGGTCAGTACAAGTGGCGGATTCGACCGGTTGCCCGGGGACTACGGGGTCCGCAATTAGTGCGTCCACAGCAATCTCCAGAGCGCTTCGAAGGACCAGGGATGACACTACAACCTGCGGAGGCGAGAGTGATCGCCTTCGTTGGATTCGATGGTCCTGTTAAGGCAGCACCAACTATCCAACGCCGCTGACGGTTTCGCTGCGAAGGTGGCACCCAAGTTTGATCGCCCCTATAGCGACGTCAAATTCATATCCCCTAATATATATTTTATTTTATGTTTTTTTGCTCTCTTTTTTAAATGTTGGAATAATAACTGGAATAATGAATGTTGAAATACACACAAACATTCATTCATACAAAAGGTACAATGACCAAGTAGGCTTTTGTTATTTTCAGTCTTAATACTGAAATGCTTTTATCGTTTAGCCTCACTTTTACTGAACTTTAGAGAGTTAGCAAGTTAACGTGCTTAGAAAAGTTATTTAAAAATATTGAGATCAACTAAACCAACAAGTATTTCATTTAATTGTGTACATTTCAATAGGTTAAGGGCCCAGACATCGCATTACCAAAAAATTAAAAAAAATAAAATCAAAAGCGTACATAATTAAATAAACAATTAAATTATAAAAAAAAATAGTCTTATCGTTTATATGTGTATGAATATTCGGCAACGCGTAATTAACACAACTCCTTTGTAGGCTTACAGTGGCTCTGAAGAAGACAAATCTTAACTGTGCACAAAAAATTAAGGGTGTGTGAGTGAATGCAACAAGAATTTAACGTGACAACGTTTTCAGAAAATAACAAAGAAAAATACAATCCAAAAGGGTAGCAAATTCAAGAATATTACTCCTTTTAATGGAGAAAAGTAAGTGTATTCTGTATGGAAATTTATTTTGATGAATCTTTTTGTTCAGAACAAGATTTTATATGTTATTGAAAAGGAGAAACCGGAAAAAATGGGCTAAGGCAGGGGGAGCAGCAAACAGTATAATAATTAAATTCCTTACCGATTCGTTTCTGTCATTTGCTGAGAATAAGAATTCTGCAAGGGAAATTTTAATGAAGTTAGACTCAGTGTTCGACCGTAAAAGTTTAGCCTCGATTCACTTTATGGTTCACTTTAAAAAATTTGACGAATTTATGAATGAGTTAATAGCATCAGGAGCTAAAATTGAAGAGGTGGATAAAGTGTCACACCTACTTTTAACTTTACCTTCCACATATGATGGGATGGCAAATGCTATTGAAAACTTGTTAATTGAAAACCTGACTCTGGCATTTGTTAAAAATCGACTACTTGATCATGAGATCAAACTTAAGAATGCTAGTAAGAATACGAGCAGTAATTTTTTGCAATCTGAAACTCAAAATGGCAAAAATGGCAATAAAACAGGACCGTGGCTTCTTAAATCAAATATTTCCCCAGGCGCATTTTTTTACGGATTAGTTCAATTTTAAGAATAGCAACCACACAGCTAGGTTTTGCTCTTATGTTGAAGCAGCGGGGGTGGTATGAATTCATTTGGGAGCCTCATACCGTATGATAAATAATGTAAAACTTTTGTGGAATATGGTTTACTGGAAACACCAATTGAGATTGCTATTGCAAAACTTATGATACTGCTATGGGTAGAGTGGAATTAGAGAGCAATCTTAATAAAAATATTACCCTAAAAAATGTGCTTTTTTGCAAGGACATTCCACAAAATTACTATCGGTGCCAAAGATGCAGAATGCTGGTATGACAATTCAGTTCAATTCAACTGGTGCAAGTGTTAAAGAACGGACAAGGCGTTTTAGAAGGTACTTACATTGAGTAGAGGCAGGCAACAAATGCCTCATCTACACATGAGTAGAGGATAGTTTATAGAAGTTGTGCGAAATAATGTTTGAGGATATAGAAATTTTTAGAAATGTACAACTGCATAACAATTTGTGTGAGGCTTGTGTTAACGGCAAACAAACTAGACTCCCGTTTAGTGGAACTAAAAATAAAGAGACCTTTATTTATGGTTCATTCGGATGTTTATGGTCCAATACCACCTTCAAGTATTGATGGTGAAAACTATGATGTAGTTTTTGTCGAACAATATAAACATTATTGTGTAAGCTATTTGATAACCAATAAATCTGATGTGTTTTCAGTTTTGAAAGATTATGTGGCAAAGAACGAGACACATTTTAACTTAAAGGTTGCGAATCTCAACATTGATAATGGGAGAGAGTACTTGTCTAACGACATGCGTAGCTATTGTTTAGAATATGGCATAAGCTACCATTTAACGGTTCCTCATACACCACAACTAAACGGAGTATCAGAACGCATGATTGGATATATAACAGAGAAGGCAAGAACAAAGATCAATTCTGCAAAATTGGATAAAAGGTTTTGGAGTAAAGTGTTTTAACAGCAACATTTTTAATTAATAGAACTCCAAGTAAGGCATTACGGGAAAAGAACACCATTTGTGGCACAACAAAAAACGTATTTTAAAATTAACGAGAAAGAAGGGCTATCTTCGGCACGCCAAAGATCTAATACCCTTGCAGACCCAACCTTTTCTTAATGCTCATAGTGCTTTGCCTCTATCTAAGAAGTACCGGGAAAATATTAAGTGCCGAATTTGGTCAAGATATTTTGATAAACAAAATGTTTTTTGATACAACTTAATTTTCGACCGATCGTTCCTATGGCAGCTATATGATATAGTGGTCCGATCTTTATAGGATTCTGCACATATATAAGGAGTAAAGTAAAACTAATAAATGCCGAGTTTGGTCAAGATATCTTGAAAAACAAAATGTTTTTTCATACAAAAACTTAATTTTCGACCGATCGATCCTATGGCAACTATATGATATAGTAGTCCGATCTTAATAGTATTATACATATATATGAGGAGCTTAGTAAAACTAATAAATGCCGAGTTTGGTCAAGATATCTTGAAAAACAAAATGTTTTTTCATACAAAAACTTAATTTTCGACCGATCGTTCCCATGGCAGCTATATGATATAGTGGTCCGATCTTAATAGGATCTTGCACATATATGAGGAGTAAAGTAAAACTAATAAATGCCGAGTTTGGTCAAGATATCTTGATAAACAAAATGTTTTTTCATACAAAAACTTAATTTTCGACTGATCGTTCCTATGGCAGTTATATGAAAAAGAGATCATTTACCATAGGAAGCAACAGTGCGTACGAAACCTAATTTGTTCTTCATCCCCGTTTTGATCGACAAGAAGTTTGCGAGCCATGATGAGGACATTGGATACTCAGTGCAAATAGAAGGGACAATAAAGCCAATGTGTTCTTTCAGGGTTTCTCTGTCGTTCCTACAAGGCAGCGCGTAGAAACCAAAAAAGCACAATTTGGGTACTTATGATGTTATTGAAGAGCCAAGTCTCAGCGCAAGCGGGTAGAAAATTATGACGCCAGCAGGCCATGGCAATCAGATTAAAGGGATACGCGCACGGCGCACTAACATCATATATTATAACGTCACAATTAACAGAATTTTATTTCTTGTGATGTTTAGTATATATTTCTACCTATATTAGGCATATTTAAATAATTTATGAATAGGGTCCTTTACAGTATATAATTGAATGATATATATAATCATTTTAAATACGAAATGATCGCACGGAATAAACCCTAGGATGTAACGTCACATGCGAAACAGAATATTGCAATCTTCTTAAGTTCATAGACTTCCCTTGGCTTGGCAGACACATACATATATGCAGATTTGCACCTTTATGTGTGAAATTAGACACACATACAACAACTATTTAGGGAGTCGCGGCATTGATACCATTATTTATAGAAATGGTATATAATGTTTCAAGAATAAAATTAACAATAATTGTATACATAGTTGCACACTAAATACGAGCATAACATTGGAGAGGCAGAGTGGTCAGCGGATCCGGATATGGAACTTAGGGAGTTCCTGGAGTCGGAACTGGCACTATTTGCGGGGGCGCAGGGAGTCTCGCATATCGCGGAGCACAGGATCCGGCTAAAGGACGACAAGTCATTAAACCAGCGATATTATCCGAAGAATCCGCCCATGGAGAGGGTGATAGACGAACAGGTAGATGAGCTGATCCGGACAAGTGTCATCGGGCCATCGCGTAGTCCGTACAACGCCCAGTCGTCTTAGTCAAAAAGAAGACTGGCGAATGGCGCGTGTGCATCGACTACCGGCAACGTGTATTCCATCCCAGACGCTTATCATGTTCCCAGGATTAATCACATCCTTGAGCGGTTGAGTCACGCCCGGTTCATTTCTCCTCTGGATTTGAAGCACGGGTACTGGCAGATACCGATGGCAGCCGATAGTCGGGAACGTACGGCGTTCACGGTCCCCGGAAGAGGTCTTTTCCAATGGCAGTTGATACCATTCGGCTTACTCTCGGCATGTGCGACCTTCCAGCGAGCCTTAGACACGCTCATGGGGCCGGAAATGGAGCCTCAAACGTTCGCCTACATAGACTACAACGTGGTAATAGGGGCAACGAAAGAGCAACATGTAGAGAACTTGAGGGAGGTGTTACGTATGTACAGCGTACGCGAGTAGAAAGTTGCTTAAGGCCGAAGAGAACTATTCCGCCACCACAAAAGAGTCCCTGCCAATCCTTTGGTCGATACGGAAGCTGCGTTGCTACTAAGAAGGGTACCGTTTCGACGTGATAGCGGCACTTAAGTGGTTCAACTCGAGCGAGAGCCCTTCAGGCAGGATCGTGCGATGGGCACTGGAGCTACAACAGTTCCAATTCGACGTCCACTACCGTCGATGAAAGCTCAACGTCGTGGCCGACGCACTTTCAAAACATCATCTAGAGACCTGCCAACAAGCTGTGGTAGCCCAGTCACCCAGCAGGTGGGTCGCGAGTATGAGTGCTAGAATCGAAGAGGAGTCGGCCAAGTTCTCGGACTACATAGATGAGAATGGGCAACTGATGGCGATTAAATTCCATGTAAGCTATGCGTGTCTAGTGATCAGCGACAGAGGGTATTGCAGGAATGCCACAACGCTCCCACGGCCGGACATCAAGGCGTGAGGAAAACCGTGTCGAGATTGGCACAAAGATACTACTGGCCAGGTATGTTCCGCGACACCGCCAAGTACGTGAAGTGCTGCGAAATCTGTCAAAAATTTAAGAGTGAGCAACTCAAACCGGCTGGACATATGCTGACGCGGCAGGTAGCAGAGCCAATGGCAGTACTCTGCGCCAACTTCGTCGTGCCCCTTTCACGCTCGAAACATGGCAACACAATGGTATTGATGTTCCATGATGCCTTTTCAAAGTGGGTGAAATGGGTCCCTCTCAGGAGGGTCACGGCGGCACACCTGCAGACCGCATTCCGAGCGCAATTTATCGAGAGGCATCAGAGTTCGTGGAAGGAGCTTTTGTCTGAGATATCGCTGGCGGTCAATACAAGTGGCGGATTCGACCGGTTGCCCGGGGACTACGGGGTCCGCAATTAGTGCGTCCACAGCAATCTCCAGAGCGCTTCGAAGGACCAGGGAGGACACTACAACCTGCGGAGGCGAGAGTGGTTGCCTTCGTTGGATTCGATGGTCCTGTTAAGGCAGCACCAACTATCCAACGCCGCTGAGGGTTTCGCTGCGAATGTGGCACCCAAGTTTGATCGCCCCTATAGCGTCGTCAAATTCATATCCCCTAATATATATTTTATTTTATGTTTTTTTGCCCTCTTTTTTAAATGTTGGAATAATAACTGGAATAATGAATGTTGAAATACACACAAACATTCATTCATACAAAAGGTACAATGACCAAGTAGGCTTTTGTTATTTTCAGTTTTAATACTGAAATGCTTTTATCGTTTAGCCTCACTTTTACTGAACTTTAGAGAGTTAGCAACTTAACGTTAACCCAGACATCGCATTACCAAAAAATTAAAAAAAATAAAATCAAAAGCGTACATAATTAAATAAACAATTAAATTATAAAAAAAATAGTCTTATCGTTTATATGTGTATGAATATTCGGCAACGCGTAATTAACACAACTCCTTTGTAGGCTTACAGTGGCTCTGAAGAAGACAAATCTTAACTGTGCACAAAAAATTAAGGGTGTGTGAGTGAATGCAACAAGAATTTAACGTGACAACGTTTTCAGAAAATAATAAAGAAAAATACAATCCAAAATGGTAGCAAATTCAAGAATATTACTCCTTTTAATGGAGAAAAGTAAGTATATTCTGTATGGAAATTTATTTTGATGAATCTTTTTGTTCAGAACGAGATTTTATATGTTATTGAAAAGGCGAAACCCGAAAAAATGGGCTAAGGCAGAGGGAGCAGCAAACAGTATAATAATTAAATTCCTTACCGATTCGTTTCTGTCATTTGCTGAGAATAAGAATTCTGCAAGGGAAATTTTAATGAAGTTAGACTCAGTGTTCGACCGTAAAAGTTTAGCCTCGATTCACTTTATGGTTCACTTTAAAAAATTTGACAAATTTATGAATGAGTTAATAGCATCAGGAGCTAAAATTGAAGAGGTGGATAAAGTGTCACACCTACTTTTAACTTTACCTTCCACTTATGATGGGATGGCAAATGCTATTGAAAACTTGTTAATTGAAAACCTGACTCTGGCATTTGTTAAAAATCGACTACTTGATCACGAGATCAAACTTAAGAATGCTAGTAAGAATACGAGCAGTAATTTTTTGCAATCTGAAACTCAAAATGGCAAAAATGGCAATAAAACAGGACCGTGGCTTCTTAAATCAAATATTTGCCCAACCACACAGCCAGGTTTTGTTCTTATGTTGACGCAGCAGGGTGGAATGAATTCATTTAGGAGCCTCATACCGTATGATAAATAATGTAAAACTGTTGTGGAATATGGTTTACTGGAAACACCAATTGAGATTTCTATTGCAAAACTTATGATACTGCTAAGGGTAGAGTGAAATTAGAGAGCAATCTTAATAAAAATATTACCCTAAAAAATGTCCTTTTTTGCAAGGACATTCCACAAAATTTACTATCGGTGCCAAAGATGCAGAATGCTGGTATGACAATTCAGTTCAATTCAACTGGTGCAAGTGTTAAAGAACGGACAAGGCGTTTTAGAAGGTACTTACATTGAGTAGAGGCAGGCAACAAATGCCTCATCTACACATGAGTAGAGGATAGTTTATAGAAGTTGTGCGAAATAATGTTTGAGATTTGAGCATGACAATTTGTGTGAGGCTTGTGTTAACGGCAAGCAAACTAGACTCCCGTTTAGTGGAACTAAAAATAAAGAGACCTTTATTTATGGTTCATTCGGATGTTTATGGTCCCATACCACCTTCAAGTATTGATGGTGAAAACTATGATGTAGTTTTTGTCGAACAATATAAACATTATTGTGTAAGCTATTTGATAACCTATAAATCTGATGTGTTTTCAGTTTTGAAAGATTATGTGGCAAAGAACGAGACACATTTTAACTTAAAGGTTGCGAATCTCAACATTGATAATGGGAGAGAGTACTTGTCTAACGACATGCGTAGCTATTGTTTAGAATATGGCATAAGCTACCATTTAATGGTTCCTCATACACCACAACTAAACGGAGTATCAGAACGCATGATTGGATATATAACAGAGAAGGCAAGAACAAAGATCAATTCTGCAAAATTGGATAAAAGGTTTTGGAGTAAAGCTGTTTTAACAGCAACATTTTTAATTAATACAACTCCAAGTAAGGCATTACGGGAAAAGAACACCATTTGTGGCACAACAAACGTATTTTAAAATTAACGAGAAAGAAGGGCTATCTTCGGCACGCCAAAGATCTAATACCCTTGCAGACCCAACCTTTTCTTAATGCTCATAGTGCTTTGCCTCTATCTAAGAAGTAACGGGAAAATAGTAAATGCCGAGTTTGATCAAGATATTTTGATAAACAATATGTTGTTTCATACAACTTAATTTTCGCCCGTTCGTTCCTATGGCAGCTATATGGTATAGTGGTCCGATCTTTATAGGATTCTGCACATATATGAGGAGTAAAGTAAAACTAATAAATGCCGAGTTTGGTCAAGATATCTTGATAAACAAAATGTTTTTTCATACAAAAACTAAATTGTCGACCGATCGTTCCTATGGCAGTTATATGAAAAAAAGCTCATTTACCATAGGAAGCAACAGTGCGTACGAAACCTAATTTGTTCTTCATCCCCGTTTTGATCGACAAGAAGCTTGCGAGCCATGATGAGGACATTGGATACTCAGTGCAAAGAGAAGGGACAATAAAGCCAATGTGTTCTTTCAGGGTTTCTCTGTCGTTCCTACAAGGCAGCGCGTAGAAACCAAAAAAGCACAATTTGGGTACTTATGATGTTATTGAAGAGCCAAGTCTCAGCGCAAGCGGGTAGAAAATTATGACGCCAGCAGGCCATGGCAATCAGATTAAAGGGATACGCGCACGGCGCACTAACATCATATATTATAACGTCACAATTAATAGAATTTTATTTCTTGTGATGTTTAGTATATATTTCTACTTATATTAGGCATATTTAAATAATTTATGAATAGGGTCCTTTACAGTATATAATTGAATGATATATATAATCATTTTAAATACGAAATGATCGCACGGAATAAACCCTAGGCTGTGACGTCACATGCGCAACAGAATATTGCAATCTTCTTAAGTTCATAGACTTCCCTTGGCTTGGCAGACACTTACATATATGCAGATTTGCACCTTTATGTGTGAAATTAGACACACATACAACAACGATTTAGGGAGTCGCGGCATTGATACCATTATTTATAGAAATGGTATATAATGTTTCAAGAATAAAATTAACAATAATTGTATACATAGTTGCACACTAAATACGGGCATAACATTGGAGAGGCAGAGTGGTCAGCGGATCCGGATATGGAACTTAGGGAGTTCCTGGAGTCGGAACTGGCACTATTTGCGGGGGCGCAGGGAGTCTCGCATATCGCCGAGCACAGGATCCGGCTAAAGGACGACAAGTTATTAAACCAGCGATATTATCCGAAGAATCCGGCCATGCAGAGGGAGATTGACGAACAGGTAGATGAGCTGATCCGGACAAGTGCCATCGGGCCATCGCGTAGTCCGTACAACGCGCCAGTCGTCTTAGTCAAAAAGAAGACTGGCGAATGGCGCGTGTGCATCGACTACCGGCAACGTGTATTCCATCCCAGACGCTTATCATGTTCCCAGGATTAATCACATCCTTGAGCGGTTGAGTCACGCCCGGTTCATTTCTCCTCTGGATTTGAAGCACGGGTACTGGCAGATACCGATGGCAGCCGATAGTCGGGAACGTACGGCGTTCACGGTCCCCGGAAGAGGTCTTTTCCAATGGCAGTTGATACCATTCGGCTTACTCTCGGGATGTGCGACCTTCCAGCGAGCCTTAGACACGCTCATGGGGCCGGAAATGGAGCCTCAAACGTTCGCCTACATAGACTACAACGTGGTACTAGGGGCAACGAAAGAGCAACATGTAGAGAACTTGAGGGAGGTGGCACACCTGCAGACCGCATTCCGAGCGCAATTTATCGAGAGCCATCAGAGTTCGTGGAAGGAGCTTTTGCCTGAGATATCGCTGGCGGTCAATACAAGTGGCGGATTCGATCGGTTCCCCGGGGACTACGGGGTCCGCAATTAGTGCGTCCACAGCAATCTCCAGAGCGCTTCGAAGGACCAGGGAGGACACTACAACCTGCGGAGGCGAGAGTGGTTGCCTTCGTTGGATTCGATGGTCCTGTTAAGGCAGCACCAACTATCCAACGCCGCTGAGGGTTTCGCTGCGAAGGTGGCACCCAAGTTTGATCGCCTCTATAGCGTCGTCAAATTCATTTCCCCTAATATATATTTTATTTTATGTTTTTTTGCCCTCTTTTTTAAATGTTGGAATAATAACTGGAATAATGAATGTTGAAATACACACAAACATTCATTCATACAAAAGGTACAATGACCAAGTAGGCTTTTGTTATTTTCAGTTTTAATACTGAAATGCTTTTATCGTTTAGCCTCACTTTTACTGAACTTTAGAGAGTTAGCAAGTTAACGTGCTAAGAAAAGTTATTTAAAAATATTGAGATCAACTAAACCAACAAGTATTTCATTTAATTGTGTACATTTCAATAGGTTAGGGGCCCAGACATCGCATTACCAAAAAATTAAAAAAATAAAATCAAAAGCGTACATAATTAAATAAACAATTAAATTATAAAAAAAATAGTCTTATCGTTTATATGTGTATGAATATTCGGCAACGCGTAATTAACACAACTCCTTTGTAGGCTTACAGTGGCTCTGAAGAAGACAAATCTTAACTGTGCACAAAAAATTAAGGGTGTGTGAGTGAATGCAACAAGAATTTAACGTGACAACGTTTTCAGAAAATAACAAAGAAAAATACAATCCAAAAGGGTAGCAAATTCAAGAATATTACTCCTTTTAATGGAGAAAAGTAAGTATATTCTGTATGGAAATTTATTTTGATGAATCTTTTTGTTCAGAACGAGATTTTATATGTTATTGAAAAGGAGAAACCGGAAAAAATGGGCTAAGGCAGAGGGAGCAGCAAACAGTATAATAATTAAATTCCTTACCGATTCGTTTCTGTCATTTGCTGAGAATAAGAATTCTGCAAGGGAAATTTTAATGAAGTTAGACTCAGTGTTCGACCGTAAAAGTTTAGCCTCGATTCACTTTATGGTTCACTTTAAAAAATTTGACGAATTTATGAATGAGTTAATAGCATCAGGAGCTAAAATTGAAGAGGTGGATAAAGTGTCACACCTACTTTTAACTTTACCTTCCACATATGATGGGATGGCAAATGCTATTGAAAACTTGTTAATTGAAAACCTGACTCTGGCATTTGTTAAAAATCGACTACTTGATCACGAGATCAAACTTAAGAATGCTAGTAAGAATACGAGCAGTAATTTTTTGCAATCTGTAACTCAAAATGGCAAAAATGGCAATAAAACAGGACCGTGGCTTCTTAAATCAAATATTTGCCCAGGCGCATTTTTTTACGGATTGTTTCAATTTTAAAAGTAGCAACCACACAGCCAGGTTTTGTTCTTATGTTGACGCAGCAGGGTGGAATGAATTCATTTAGGAGCCTCATACCGTATGATAAATAATGTAAGACTGCTGTGGAATATGGTTTACTGGAAACACCAATTGAGATTACTATTGCAAAACTTATGATACTGCTAAGGGTAGAGTGAAATTAGAGAGCAATCTTAATAAAAATATTACCCTAAAAAATGTCCTTTTTTGCAAGGACATTCCACAAAATTTACTATCGGTGCCAAAGATGCAGAATGCTGGTATGACAATTCAGTTCAATTCAACTGGTGCAAGTGTTAAAGAACGGACAAGGCGTTTTAGAAGGTACTTACATTGAGTAGAGGCAGGCAACAAATGCCTCATCTACACATGAGTAGAGGATAGTTTATAGAAGTTGTGCGAATGACAATTTGTGTGAGGCTTGTGTTAACGGCAAACAAACTAAACTCCCGTTTAGTGGAACTTAAAATAAAGACAATGTCAAGAGACCTTTATTTATAGTTCATTCGGATGTTTATGGTCCAATACCACCTTCAACTATTGATGGTGAAAACTATGATGTAGTTTTTGTCGAACAATATAAACATTATTGTGTAAGCTGTTTGATAAACTATAAATCTGATGTGTTTTCAGTTGTGAAAGATTATGTGGCAAAGAACGAGACACATTTTAACTTAAAGGTTGCGAATCTCAACATTGATAATGGGAGAGAGAACTTGTCTAACGACATGCGTAGCTATTGTTTAGAATATGGCATAAGCTACCATTTAACGGTTCCTCATACACCACAACTAAACGGAGTATCAGAACGCATGATTGGATATATAACAGAGAAGGCAAGAACAAAGATCAATTCTGCAAAATTGGATAAAAGGTTTTGGAGTAAAGCTGTTTTAACAGCAACATTTTTAATTAATAGAACTCCAAGTAAGGCATTACGGGAAAAGAACACCATTTGTGGCACAACAAACGTATTTTAAAATTAACGAGATAGAAGGGCTATCTTCGGCACGCCAAAGATCTAATACCCTTGCAGACCCAACCTTTTCTTAATGCTCTTAATGCTCATAGTGCGTTGCCTCTATCTAAGAAGTACCGGGAAAATAGTAAATGCCGAGTTTGGTCAAGATATTTTGATAAACAAAATGTTTTTTAATACAACTTAATTTTCGACCGATCGTTCCTATGGCAGCTATGATATAGTGGTCCGATCTTTATAGGATTCTGCACATACATATATGAGGAGTAAAGTAAAACTAATAAATGCCGAGTTTGGTCAAGATATCTTGAAAAACAAAATGTTTTTTCA